CTCGTGGTCATGGGCAATGTTTTGCTCCAACTCCTTCTGTCTCCTATTGACTTACATTGTAAAACTCTAGCTCAGTAACCGTTTGTGTCTAACTCACCCTTTTGGGATTTTAAAAAATTGGTGTGTATTGCTTGCTAGGATGCTATGCTATGCTACCAAGCTTCAATACTGTGGAATCAGCTTCCCAGCCAGGCTTAAAATAGTCTTCTTTAATTCAGCATATTGATAGGCATGCTGAATTAAAGCAGTAAGACCATAAGACTAAGAAGCATAGGTTAATACAGATAAGCGATGGCCAAGAAAACCAAACCATTTCCTCAACGGCCCATGGTGAAGATCCAGTCTTCATGAGTTGTGAGGTACACATCTGCTGGAACTGTAACAGTTACCCACAATGCACTGGTCCCTCAGCTTAATGCGCTGGAATGGTGTAACATTCAGCGCCGACCAAAGCCTCGTCACATGCCTCAGACTCACACTGATCACAGACTCACCCTCTTTACAACAATTGTCTATAGCTCAAAGGTGAGCTACAGACAAATAAGGAAATGTTATTGTTTTTAGTTTTCTGTTTTCGTATTAAGTCCCCATAGAAAACAGGTGATGGATAAGTCACATATTGCTCCTTTACCGGCCTCACACCTGCTGTACAGTGTCTGGGACAGCAGTATTTGGATAGAGCGACACGTTTGTGCTGATTTGTCTTGATCATACAAGCCAAAATCACAATCCGACTGAAGATAAATTCCTTCCGTTGTATGCACAACTAAACAGAACTATTTTAACCTGGATTTGAGCATTTTCAGATGTGAAGCCTGTTTCACATTTTCAGGAAGACTGTTCCAGATTATAGTTTCATCAGAAAATTGATAGAGAAGCGATAGAGATGAGGAAGCATGGCGCACGGACCATCAGTACACTCCAGACTCACTTCTCTAAAGACCACAGTTAACGGTAAATGGCCCAATGACAAGACACCAATGGGAGCTGGTTTCACACTTGCCAACCTCTGACAGCTCATCCAAGTTTATGTCAGGAGCAGGATTCTCAGTCTGACGGATCTGAAGGGGTATGGTCAGTCAGATGGATCTGAGGGGGCGTGGTCAGTCTGATGGCCCTCGAGAAAGAAGGCATCTAATTGGTCAATCCTTAAATAAGGCATAATATTTCTTCTTTTTAATACTCTTTAGTATTTGGATTTTAGAAAACTCTTATGGGGGATTTTGAATGGGAGTTTTACTCCTAGAACCAGATTGGATTTAAAAGTGGATTATGTAGCTCCATAAGAAACAGACTGCATTCAAACCGATCTAAAATATGGTTAATTTAATAGAGTATGTCAGGAGATACAATTTGTGGACAATAAATACATATATAGCTCTATGTGACCAAGTCTAATACTTTACTGGACAGAAGCAATGATTAGAAATCCCAAATCTCTCAAATGTTCCTTACACAACAGCATTACATAACTCTTTGTGCTTGGCCGCCCCATTTCTGCCCTTGCGATCTGTACACCAAATAAAAATAACTTTGTCAATTTGAAATAAAGCTAATTATCCTCCCTAGAGACATCACAGAGGCTGAAGGAGAAGTCTTCGTCTGTTCCTGGAGTTCTAAGCGGATTGGGGAGAAAAGAGGACTGGATTTCAGACAGTGTTTAGGTCTGAGTCAGACTTTGAAGAGCAGATTATAACCCAGACCTCCAGTGTCAGCCGTTGTGAGCACAGATCCCCCACTGAATCATGGGGGAAGGCTGTGACAGCCTGATGGGAGACATTCTTGGACTGAGTCTGGGTTTAAGAGTATTGATCAGAACGACTAGTGAAGAAGACATTTTTTCACAGTATTTTTTCAACATGGAAGTGAGTCAGCAATTTATCTGACTTATCTCCGGATGAGCTGGAGAAAATGTCAACAAAAGGATCATCACAAAAAACTATAAGCAAATCACAGCAGGAATTGTACTGGTGCTGTGGAATCCAACATGTGATGGGAGACCTCTTGTAACACCCGGTGCCACAGTAGGGCGGCTGCTGCTGTAAAGTGCCAAACTGCCGTTGTGTCCTTCGGCAAGACACTTCACCTACATTGCCTAGAATGAGTATGGTGTGTGTGTGAATGGTTGGTGGTGGTCGGAAAGGCCGATGGCACATTCTAGTTGCCTCGCCTCTGTCAGTGTGCCCCAGGGCAGCTCTGGCTACATGAGTTTATCACCACTGTGTATGGAGTGAATCAATAATGTCATGTGAAACTTCTTTGAATGTCCAAAAAAGTGCTATATAAAACCAATGCTTTATTATCATTAACTGCCACCACAACAGTCGTATACAGTCGATTGATACAGTTTTTTAACCGAGAACAGGATCTTTAGATACTATTAAAGCTGGGGTACCTGCAGACATGTAATTTTGGCCTCTGTCACATCCTTAGATCATTTTTTTTCCAGACATAAAATTGATGTGCAAAGTTCTACTTCTAGACAAAAAATTTAAAAAGAGAGCAGATCACAACCAAAATAGTCAAATACTGACTCACAGGTGTGTTTCTTACAAAAAATAAAACATGTTTTCTCCTAAAATGGAGACAGCATGGTATGGTCTAAATTGTTCGGGTTCTCACTCTGTTGGATTATTACATGGATTATCTATGAAAAAGTAGGTACCCCGGTAAGCGACTAAATCCCATTGTAAATTATATGGAGCCTCAAAGCTGGCACTGCTCCACACGTCACCTAAAATGCATTTTCCTTTCTTTTTTAACGCAATTTCAAAACAACTCGGCATACTGTGGCTTTACTCAGCGGCGTATAAATCTGAAAACAGAGAGAAAGCCAGAACGGAAGCAAGAGGGAGAGAGAGAGAGGTAGCAAAGGAGTCTAGGAGCAGACAGGAGCATAGACAGAGGAGGGATGCAACCAGCCGCAGCTCCTCACACTGTATGGAATACTACTACTGCTACTACTACTACTGTTAATACTACTACTGCTACTGCTATATGCACGCCTACTGTAAACCCAGGATTTAAACCACTTTTGATTGACTTCCCAACCATGAGGCTATTTTTGGACCCGCAGTGACGTGGAATAGGGATTTCTTCACTATGTAGTTTTTCACACGGATAAGATGTGACACGTTTTTTACGGAATTAATTTTGCGAAATCCATTTAGTAGAAATAGGTTAATGTGTTTGATGTTGGTTTTGGGAGAAGGTAAGAGGTGAATGGCGGAGAGAATGGCAATACTTGGGAGAGACCTTGAGGAGAAATTGTCAAAACATGAACATTTGGAAATGGAATTCTTGTCATGAAGTTTTAAGACTAGGAAGAGCGTATCATGGAAAGCAGGAACATTTTACAGCAGTTTTGGACTCCATTTGTGACTGAAAACTAGGTGATCTGAAAAGCGAGATAATTGTGTAATTATGAAAGTTGGTATTTTTAGCCATTGAAAATATTTGGTGAATTTTGCACAATTGTCTGTAGAACAAACAAGTACATAATCAAATGTAAAACTTTTTTAGATTTTGAAAAGACAAGAAATCTATAATCTGAACATCGTTCCGTGTTTAACAAATTTACGATTTGATGAGTTTTAGTTTTTTTGACTGAAAATCCTCTTCTTTTTCCATACTGAGGTCAAACGCAGGGCTGAATTAATGTATATATTTTGTACCAAGACTGGATAATTTTTCTCAGTCCAAACCATGAATGTGAGAATATTCCACTTTTGATATGACAATATAATAATTTCATAATTTAAATCTGTTTGGACCAAGACTAATGGATATGTCATAGCACAATATTTCTCCTCTACTTTCTCATAAAAAAGGGACTTCCTAACTTCAGAGCAACAAAAAATGGGTAAAATAAAACTGTGAATTTGAGGGGAAAAAAATTGCTTTTGACTTTGCAATATACATTTTGGACACTTTTAAGTATTTGCTGGGAAACTTTACTGGGAAGTCTTCAAATGACAACAATTTCTTTGCGTGGTGATCACAACTCGACTCCACAATTTTGGACTCCATCTGCCACACAATGAACTTTACAGCTCTCAAAATCTCTTTCAAAAAACACATGCCTCAAACTCTCAAAGACATTTTCCAGATCAACAATTTTAATTCCACAAGCAGCAGCCGTGAGGAGGCTCTTTCCCCGTTTCCCCTTGGACACAACTGGATCGCTGAGTTTTATTTTTACCTCTGGGGAAATTACGTCGCGTCTTCTGCCTTTCGAAGATCCTGCTGGGGATTGATGTTTTTACAGCGAGACTAATTAGGACAAAAATAATTTCTATCTTTGTAGAAAAAATGCAGCACTTATTCCAAATATTGGGGTGGAATGAAATGTGATGGTAAACTATAGTCGTTTTTGAAGCTCTAAGTACTTCTGGAGTCATCTATTTTTGTATGTAGCATTGAATACACCACGGGTTTGAAGATATTTCTGAAAATTTGGCTCAAATGTTGACATTTCGTTTGCCCATGAGGTTTTCATAATATTTTTTTATGGATTAGAAAAAGGGTCCTACAATAAGAATAATGTGTTGGAAATAGTCAGAACATCTTGGAATTAGAAATTAAACCAATCTAGATTCAGTCAGTAGAGACAACAAAACTAGGGATTTAAACCTTTCTTTGAGCAATGTCACCAATTTCAACTACTTACTTTTCCATTTCCCCGGTTGCTGTCACATCAACAGGAGAGTATCTTTGACACAATCCTAAATTTTAACCAATTTCCCCCCAACATGAATTCTGAAGTGGACAATAGCACTTCTGAACTGGCCACTTCTAGAACCCTACATCTTCAAGATCCGCAAAAAATGTGGGATTTACAAAACAGAAGCGAGACCAAGCTTTGCCACTCGCATTCAGGGCTGTGGAACTTGACTTTTCACAACTTGAGTGAAGAAAGCACGTGGGCTTCGGGAGATCAATGCAGCGTGGCGAAGAACTGGGCCGCTCTGCTGATTATTCTTGTGATCGCAGTGACCGTCATGGGGAACATCCTGGTGATTTTGGCCGTTTCGTTAGAGAAAAAGTTGCAAAACGCCACAAACTACTTCCTGATGTCGCTGGCCGTCGCCGACATGCTGCTCGGAGTCCTGGTGATGCCCGTGTCCATGGTGACCATCCTCTACGGTAAGTTTATGATCTGATAACATTTGGGAATTGTTTTGATACAGACATATATGGGAATACATCATTTACTGGAAATATTTAGAAAAGGGATGGAGAAGAAGATTGGAGGATATATACATGGATGGATGGATTATGGTTGGTTGGTTGGGGTTGAGCCAACTGGTGTTTCTTCCAACTTTGTTCATGAGCTGGACTTTGCACAGCTGTTTTGCACATTTACACATTGGGAAGAAGACAACAGGCCAACGGACAAAGCAACGGAGAAAACCAGTTAGTCGAATATAAGTAAAGCAGCGTTCAGCAACTCCCACTGTAAGGAGACTGTATGGAGACTGTACGAGACGAGAACCTCTGTGTATGAGCCAGAGGAGGAGCAAGACAGAGGAGGTATGTGTGCGCAGTGCTCGGGTCAAATATCATATTGCTAATCACATCAGACATTAGCAACCCGATAGTATGACAGTTAACTTTATTAAAGCTGCATTACCCGACTTTATTTTTGAATTCATTACGAAAATTCAATCCATATCCATGCAGTACATTGGGATATACGTCTTTTTGAAGAAAAAGTAGCACAGATTTGTGCTGGCGTGTCATTTTATTTTAGATCGAGTTTTGGTACAACAAGGAAGAGTGTGTTTCGGGTCCAGATTGTGACCAATCACAGCAAAAGTGGAGGCCGAAGCTCCGTGCGGGGAGGGCGAGTAGAAAGAGCGAGGCCATTGCTCGCATTTGAAAATTTCTCAAAGTTAGTTAGTGCAGTTTTAGTGGCTTTTGTGTTCCCATTGCCTACAGCCCCTCAGCGTTGTGTTTACACAAACTCTAGCTGTGTGTTTGGTGCCCCGTCCACACGTAGCTGGACATCTGCTAAACCGTAGATATTTTTCTTCGTTTGCACCTGTCATCCACATGACAACGCATCATAAACGAATATGTAAAAAACTCTGTTTATGCATTTGCGTTTAGACAGAGATAACCGGAGTTTTGCAATTTTTTCGCAAAACTCCTCTGATCACTGATGAACCATGGATCTTACTGCCTTAAAAACTGCAGCAGCAGCGATCCTTGCTCCACATCAGAGAGCAGCAAAGTGATCACGGGGACTCACACTCGAAAAACAACCAAAACAGGAGCTAAACCAGGATTAAACCAGGGCTGAGGACGGGGGTCAGTGCTTGTAAACATATGTCTTCACTCTGAGTTTCTTCTGTGACTGTAAAAGTGGCGATACAGAAGTACCGGCATCAGCATCAAAGCTCCCCCCACTTCTGTGTTTTTCCCATACGTAGGACAGGACTTCAGAGGACGCACATGTTTGGAATGTTATGAATGTGATTGAAAACGCAGATGTCCGGTTATGTGTGGATGCAAATTATTTTATAAACGGAGGGGGGGAATATTTGGTTTTAAAAATACCCGGCTACGTGTGGACATGGCAACAGTGTATTGCAGATTAGAATAAAGAAATAGCTAACAGATAAGGTGAGTATGCTGACATGTGGGAAAGTTCGCTTCCTCATAGCTCACATAGCTCTCATATTATTCACCCTTAGCTTTGTCCATCTCAAGCACATAGTGTGTTAAATCATTATATCAGGTTGTGTCCAGTTAAAGCAGTCGTCAATCTACAGTTGGTAAAGTGTTACATCACAACATGAAAACATTTGCATTTATTCAAGTGCGGCCCATACGTGGACAATATATATTTTCTCTTCAAATTGAGCTGGTGCGGTTTATATAAAGGTGTGCTTAAGTGTCAGGCAAGTATTGTGGCTGTATAAAAGACATTTGATCTCCGGAGTGATGGAAAGTAGGACAATTGGACAGATATTTGCAAGATTCGCCACCGCACATTTTGGACAGTCGTTACCCCATCTTCCAAAAAATGTTTAAATCCCATGTCGCTCATTCCTGGATCTAAAAATTTTTGCTTTTCTTAAATTGATGTCAGTAACTTCTGGCACAAACATGTAAATCCACCCCTTCTATCTAAAAACTCCTGTCCCAGTTCTGTGTAGAATGATGTCATTGTACCACAATGAAATCACCTTTTAAAACAGAATAAGTAATTTTTAAATCGCTAAATACTCAAAACATATTCTCCTCCTCCCTCTGGAGTTATGAGCTGAAACATTTCTTTATATTCTTAATCATGTCATAAGATAAGATAAGATTTGCTTTATTTATCTCACATAGGAGAAATTTACTTATTAATCAAGTAAATTGTCTCATTATCATCTTTTTATGACAAAAAATAGTGCATAATATTTCTGGACTTTATTTAACAGTTGGACTTTGTTAAGTCCTCAGAGACAACTGCTGTTGTGATTTAAGGCTTTACACAAATTAATTGAATTGAATTGAAGCTCTGCACTGTGACTGACTCTGCGGTGAAGTTAGATGTTGGATCAGAGTGAGCTGCAGCGGATGTGAAGAAAGCTCCTCTGTCTCTCAAGAGGAAACTCAGTATAAACGCACTACAACTATCTTAATCTCCCACCCTTCTTCTCCTCACACCCTCATGGTACGTCTATCACCGTGTCACCCTCTCTCTCTCTGTCTTAGACCAGAGCAGGAGCAGTTTCACAGCCTTCAAAGAGCTGTGACACGTGTGGGCTTGACGCGCTTTGATGTTATTGGGCTTTAAACTAACCAGCATAGAAATGCAGTGCAGCGCATGCAAATGGTTTTTTGTGCTTAAACCATGTACAATTCTACCCAATAAACAGATTAAGCTTGTCCCAAAGCCATGAGAGGGCCCCCAACTGTGTCTTAAAGCTGGGGTACATCACTTTCAAACCACAACAAGGTTCTCAACAGCTTCTGGAATTCTGAAGATGTCTCGCAGCTCTGCAGCCGAATGGTAACAAATTAATTTCATCTCAAAGAGTAGTTGTCTGCAGAACCTTAAAGCTGCATTACCTCACTTTATTTTGGTATTCATTAGGCAAATTCAATCCATATCCATGTGTAATGAGGGGGGGGGGGGGGGGGGTCGTGCGAAAGAATGAGTGAATCAGAGGGGGTCTATTGCAAATGGGTGTGAGATGACTGGGTGAGAGCACACTGTATTTACCCAGGAAAGACAGGAGAATTGTAAATTACAGATTTTATTACAAAAAGGAAATAAAATGATAAAATTGTCCACATTAACTCTAAAAGTACATAAAAACGGCGGGCTAAAAATACTTAAGAACGACAGTCCAAGAAAGTGCAACGTACCGTCCTGGGGAGCGATCCCTCTCCACACACACCAGGTCACCTGGGATTACAAAACAAACGCCAGCACGGTGGTCCGAGACTACAGGGCCTGAGTCTACGATGGTGAAGTGTCGCTACAGTACTTACACACAAGGCAGAGTTTTCCTCTGCCCCTACGTGTAGTCCAGTTCTTACTGACTATTCAGGATAATTCATTTAATCATTAAACAAACTAATTTAAATTTGTATTTTGGCCCTCTGATGTATTTGACATCCCTGCTTTAGTGCAACAAACTCTTTTCTTTTGCTTCCTGCTCTAGCTCCGCTCAGCAGCTCTTTTTGGTCAAAGTGTGGCCTTGCCCCTCTGTGCATGTACATGAGAGCTACACACACGTACAGTATTTGGCACAAAGTATCATGGGAGCTCGTCCACGGCGCAGAACCGGGAGGACCAGAGGACGCCCAAGTATGGGTGAGTTCTGCTAATCTTTCGATCCCCATGGCTGTCCCTTTTGCTACTGAGCACAAGTCATTGACTTGAATAGGGCACCATCTTGGATCAGCGGGGCTTGGGTAGCCCCCCATGGAGGGGGCCATTGATTGCAGGGAAATGAATACCAACACAGAACTTACACCAAGTACTCGCTTCCTCCAGTTTCAGATAGATGCTTTATTGATCCCCCCAAGGAGAAATTCAGGTGTCCAGCAGCAGAAACACATCCATCCATACAAAAAAAAAAATGCACAATTCTAAATGTTACTAACCATGTTAATCAAGTGCAAAGGCACTTTAGGTCACAGCAGGAGAGATGGTGTAGCCTTGCCACCCTGAGGGCCCTGTGTGCAACATCTTTCACACAACTTCCATCTGCACTCAAATTTGGATCCAAATACTTAAACACGTCCACTTCTTCTAGTCTCTGCCCATTATAGTAAACATTGATTCCTCTTGCTTGCTGTTCCCTTGCATACCTCATCACTTTACTCTTTCCAACATTCACATTCAACTCCCTCCTTGTACATGTCACAGGTTTAAAAATGTCAATTGAGGGGGGTATGACCAATAAAAAGGCAACATTAAAAGAATAAATAGGTTTTTGATCTAAACTGCTCTCCCTGGGGTCCGCACTGGTCTCTCCCAGGGTCTGTGCTCCATCTCCTCAGGGTCCGTTCACGGCTTCTTTGCGCTGAGAGGGGGCCTGATTTTTATAATTTACAAATAAAATGTCAAAAAGAAAAATTTACTCTAGGTGCGTAAGAGCAGATCCAGCAGCTAACATTGAAAAGGAAAAACTCTTGCACACTGTACTAGTAGATAGTATAGACGGCAGTAGAGAGCAAGTGGTGAAAAGGTGGTACTGCACCCTAAAATCCCCAGAAAAGAGACGGCGCTCTTGAGCAAGTGGTGAAAGGTGTTACTGCACTTTGTTTTTCAATGAGTTAGCTTCTGTTGGCCTGTGTGTGTGTGATAATGTTTCACAGTTGTCTAAAGTGATTTATGATCACGGTGTATTCTAAAACAAGCAGTTAGGTCAATAAACTAATTAATCTACAGGTCCTCCCTGTTAACGACACGTGTGTGTGTCTGATAGTGATGGCGGTTGGGAGGTCGTACTAGCAGCAAATCAGAATGGGTCGCGGCGGTGGTGTTGCGATTATATCACACACCAACTTGGTTCTTAGTCCCAAAACCAACAACGCTTTTCACTCGTTTGAAAACTTAACACTTTCAATCACCTGTCCTGGGTGGAGAAAACAAAAAGCAGTACTATTTATAGTTTTATACCGACCTCCTGGTCCTTACAGCGAGTTCCTAACAGAATTCTCTGACTTCATTTCAAACCTAGTTTTGGAATGGGAAAACATAGTTATAGCTGGAGACTTCAATATACATGTGGACGACAGCACTGACAGCTTAAACAAAGCTTTCAGCGCCGTACTAGATGGTGTTGGTTTTACTCAGAATGTCGAGGAACCTACTCACATTCATAACCACACCTTGGACCTTGTCCTGACCTACGGCTGTGATGTCTCCAATGTTGACATCCAGCGTCAAAGCTCGTTGCTGTCTGACCATTTCTTGATCACGTTTGATCTCGCTTTGGAGGACTTTCCTGTCCCGCAAGATAAAACCATAATGAAAAGAACCTTAAATGATAAATCTATCACAAGGTTCAAAGAACTAATACAGCCTATGTTGAATACTGCTGCAGGTGAACCTGTTCACAGCAGCTGCAGTCCCTCAGTCATTGACCAAACGGTGGGCAACACTATGGAGTCTTTAAAATCTGCATTAAATGCAGCAGCTCCTTTAAAACAGAAAACCATTAGGATTAGATCATCGTCGCCCTGGTACAGTGTTCAACTCCACACTTTAAAACAGGACGTCAGAAAATTGGAGAGGCTATATCGCCACTCCCACTCGGAGCCTGTCCACAGGGAGTGGAAAGCAGGTCTCCGAAACTACAAGAAGGCCCTTCGCGGGGCTCGAACTCAATACTATTCAACTTTAATAGAAGCGAATAAAAACAACAGTAGATTTTTGTTTGGTACCGTCGCTAAACTCACAAACTGCCATAGCGCAATCGAGCCTAAAATTCCAAGCTCACTGAGCAGTGTCGACTTTCTCCACTTCTTTAATAATAAAATTACATCCATCCGTGACAAGCTGGAGGAGGTTGCTCCTGCTGTTAGTGGTGGACAGGTTGAAGCGGCATACGTGACTTCCCACTTAGACTCTTCAGTGTGCCTTAATAAATTCATGGCTGTGAGCCAAGCAGAGGTGATCTCTGTGGTCACATCCTCAAAAGCCTCAACTTGCATGTTAGACGCAGTCCCGACATGGCTCTTCAAAGACATACTTCCTTTGATAATTGAGCCTATCGTAAATATAATAAACGCATCCATACAATGTGGCTATGTCCCACAAGCTTTTAAAACCGCGGTAATCAAACCCCTTCTGAAGAAAACAAACCTGGACCCAGAAATACTTACAAACTACAGACCGATCTCAAACCTCACTTTTATATCTAAAATCCTGGAAAAACTTATAGCTGAGCAGCTCCGCTGCCACCTGCAGGAAAATGATATGTTTGAAGTCTTTCAATCAGGATTCAGAGCTCATCATAGCACTGAAACGGCACTAGTCAAAGTCACAAATGACTTACTACTAGCTGCCGATAATGGACAAGTGTCAGTGCTGGTCCTACTGGACCTTAGTGCTGCATTTGACACAATAGACCACAGCATTCTACTGCAGAGGCTAGAATGTGATATAGGTCTTAGAGGAACAGCCCTTGGCTGGTTTAAATCCTATTTATCAGATCGATATCACTTCGTCAATGTGAATCAGGACTCGTCGCCTTATTCTGGAGTGGAATTCGGTGTGCCGCAGGGTTCGGTACTCGGACCGATTCTTTTTACTCTCTACATGCTGCCACTGGGAAACATTATTAAAAAGCATGGAATTAATTTCCACTGCTATGCAGATGACACACAGCTTTATCTGTCGATGAAGCCTAATCAGACAGATCAGCTAGAAAAGCTCAGTGCCTGCATAAAGGACCTTAAAATGTGGATGACTCTTAACTTCCTACTTCTCAACCCGGAGAAGACAGAAGTGATCCTACTCGGTCCGAAGCGCCTGCGTGACTCCCTCACTAACCAGATGGTTACTCTCGATAATGTCAGTATAATACCCAGTAACACTGTGAGGAATCTTGGAGTCATTTTTGACCAAGAACTCTCCTTCAAGGCTTATATAAGCCAAGCAACTAAAACGGCGTACTTCCACTTACGGAACATCGCTAAAATTAGGAATTTCCTTCCTAAAAGTGACGCGGAAAAACTCATTCACGCGTTTGTCACCTCAAGGCTCGACTACTGTAACGCTTTACTGGCAGCGTGCCCTAAAGCCTCTTTGAAGAGCTTCCAGCTCGTTCAGAATACAGCAGCTAGGATCTTAACAGGTACCAAAAGGAGGGAGCACATAACTCCGGTGTTAAAATCACTCCACTGGCTCCCTGTGGAGTACAGAATAAAGTTTAAAATCCTACTCTTAACATATAAAGCCATAAATGGCTTGGCTCCTTCTTATCTCCAAGACACGTTAGTGTCGTATCAACCAGGTCGAGCGTTGCGCTCACAAAACGCCAGACGTCTGGTGGTCCCTAAGGTCTCAAAGGTCACTGTTGGTGGCAGAGCATTTAGCTACCAAGCTCCTTTACTGTGGAATCAGCTTCCCATTTATGTTAAGGAAGCAGATACGGTCTCCACATTCAAGGCCAGGCTTAAAGCACTTTACTTTAATTTAGCATATAATTAGGTAATATATAATATGTAGTGTATATATTATATATATATGCTGTATTATGTTATATATTATGTTATATATTATTCAATAATGTATTGTGTTATGTTGTATATTATGTTATATATTATGCTGTATGTTATTCTTTATTCAAGGCTAGGTTTAAAACAGTCCTCTTTAGTTTAGCATATGGCTAGGAAGGTAAGACTCGGAGAAGGTTAAACTCCTCAGAGTGTTAGTCAAGCTGCATAGGGAGTCAGTTTGCTGGGAGAAGTATGGTAACTTGAGCACTATCCTCTCCTCCTTCCTACTTTATCTGTTTAGCATTTTTAGGATTCTGACTGTAGTTTGTTCATTGCTATTCACCCGTTGTCCCATTGTCTGTTTCATGGTACGATGACGGGATCTCTGAGCCTGGCCTCTTCCATCTACACCTGCGGACTGCCCCGCCCGACCCGCCTGGGAGTGCTTCAGTCCTGCACCGGACCTGTCCACGTTAGCGTCCACTGGTCCACGTTCTGTAGCTAGCTTAGGTCCTAGATCATTAGCCTGTCCGTCCGGAGGAGCGGATCCCTTTCTCATATGGGTCTCCCTCCCTGTGGGTTTCCCTAGTGCTCCTCCAAGGTTTCTCACTTTTTCCCACTGGGTTTTTTAAGAGTTTTTCCTTGTCGATGCAGGAGGGTCTTGTTGGACAGTTAGTGTCCAACAGAAAGGATTGGTGATGATCAGGACACTTTAGCATTCTACAACATGTATGGACATTTTCTTCTGTGTGTGCTTTATATTCTTCATGTGTTTTAACTGTTGATTCTCTGACCTGTGTTGGTGATTTCTGATTTGGCAACTTGTTCTCCTGGGCAGACAGTAAAATCCATTTAGTTCAAATCTTCTGCTTTTCTTTATCCTCTTTGTTTTCCTCTGTCAGCGCAGAATTGCTGCGGAGCTCCTGACTGACAACCCAGGACTTGGAATGGCTTAAATTTGGCACAGAAAGGTTCGAGCCTTTCCGTCCCATGAATAAATCTATTAAAATCAAATTGTTGGAACTCCCCCAGCCCACCTGGACCCTGGTGAGCCCTGGTGTCCGATGTGTCAGGCCTGAGATAAAGTAACCTTAGGACCACGTCATATTTCAAACAGAGACTTTGAGTGTGGGTACAGACCTTTGTACGATGATTGTAATTGTATTGTGTTATTATGAAGTTAATGGTGTAATATTGATGTTGCCGATGTCCTTTAAATGTCAGCAGACTTTAATTAGCGGCTGTTCACTGCAAAAGAGGGAGAAGAGGGAGAGTTTCCTTCGAGCGCTGGGTTGAGTCTGCGGCGTCTGTGTCCATGGAGACCTGAGTCACGAGCCAATGAGCCCGGGATTAACCTGTCTGTCAGACGGAGGAGGAGGTGGGAAGAGGGGAGAGAGGGAAAGACAGGGGCGAGAGGATAGGAGAGATGGGAGTTGGGAGGGATTGGATAAGAAGACAGAGAAGAGAGAGAAATATGCCGTGTTTAGTCTGCTCGTTTCTTTATAAAGTTGTCCTTGTAAAAAATGTGTTTGAAAATGTTTATATTGCTCCACAAAGATGAGAAACTTGACATTATAATGTCATTCCCTCTGGTTTTCTCTCTTTTACAGACTACAGCTGGCCTCTGCCCCCAGCCCTGTGTCCCATGTGGATCTACCTGGACGTCCTCTTCTCCACTGCCTCCATCATGCATCTCTGTGCCATCTCTCTGGACCGGTACATCGCCATCCGCAACCCTCTCCACCACAGCCGCTTCAACTCGCACACCAAGGCCCGGCTCAAGATTACCGCCGTCTGGACCATCTCCATCGGTACGTGTGCCGGTTTACACACAGGATATTTTGTCCATGAAAGTATGTTTCTCAAATATGTAATAGGATTCGTCAGCAGCAGCTTCACTTCAGCTGAGTCAATGTACATAAAATTATATCTCAGGGCTCTTGGACCCCACTTTGGATGCACTGTCAATAATAATATTAATCAAAGCCACAAGCACAAGTGACATTGGCGACATACAGCCCTCGCCGCTCTTACAACTGAGGAATGTGTTTGCCAAGGAATTCGTAGCCTGTTCGGATCAGGATTATGCACAAAAAAGCTAATTTAAAGGATTCATGTTCGGGGCCTCCCATAGATGACACTCTAGAGTTGATATTAAGTCTGTATTTTCATACTATAATGACTCAGGCCATTATAAACTATTATTGATGCGAGTTTTATCTCAGTAGGTCTCGGCTTTTGTTGGTAGCAAAAGGCCAAGTTATCCAGCACCAATCAGAAGCGGCGCCATTCTGACCTAATTTGCCCTACTCGCTGCTAGCGCCAAATTCAGGGGTGTCCTGATTGGTAAGAGAACATGAGCTAAACCATCGCTTTTTAAGCCCAAAATTGTGAGTGTGACGCAAACTTACTAAGCTTGAGGAGTTTACATTTCAATATAAGTAAACAGGAGACAGAACGAGTTGGAGCAAAACTTTGAACACTTTGCAATTGGGAATCATTGAGCTAGCGGGTTCACTTTTTCCATTTTCCTCCATCATCCAGTTTTGCGTACAGCAACCTAATCAGATGGACTTCGCCATGTCTTTGCCGTCGTCTTCACGTCCGAAGACCTCTTTGCCCTGCCGGCGTCGGACACAAAAGGTGCGGCAACTGCGCAGCGGATCTACTTCCTCTGGACCAGCACAACCGCTGTTTCTTCTACCTCGGCCAGAGCCACTCGGCTAGAGCGCTTCCTGCCAAGTGTGCCTTTCTCTCCCCAGGGAGGAGAGGGAACGCCGCGGTGCAAGGACACTGCAGCTGCCCGCTCGAACTCCGCTTAGGAAGTTGATTCCCAGAGCCACTCGTAGCTTGTAGTCCGTCTACTGCACCCCGTATGGACTGGGGAGACGTATGGACTGGTCTATGAGGCCCTGTCCTGGATCGAAAAGCAGGACGGCTTTCCGCTCAACCACATGCTCAGCTCGCTTTCTCTAGCGAGGCCTCCAGTGCAGGACAGGTCGGGTGAGATGCTCCAAGTGCAGCAGACCCAATGCTGCCCACCCTTCGTAGGAGGAAGAAAGGGGGGAACGGGGTAATTCTAATAAAGGCTGTTACACGGCCCGTTACTCCACTAAAGAGTCTGCTTCTCCACTGCTTGCCTTCACTGGTAGAGGGCATGGTCACAACAAGCACACTTCACCCTCATCAGGCTGTTCCTAGAGCCTTACACTCACACATGAGGGGGGGCACACAGCGTTCAGTCCAGGGCACTGGTGCTACTTTTGTCCCAAGGACTCAGCCAGGTTTCCACGTTCAGGCCAAGGTAGTAAACCGGCAGACACCGACAAGCTCACACACAGGCTGTGTCAGAGTGCTGTTCAGGGTGCTGATGCTGCTCTTATCCCAGCGCTAGCACGCATGAGAGGCCAGCGCGCTGTGGGCATATGCCCGCTCTGGTCTCTAGGCGGGGTACCGGGTTGCGAAAAGGGCCTTCTCTCCAATCTATGGCTGGACATAACGCTTTGCAGAGACTATGCCCTGCAGTTCTCACGGAGGCAACCCCCGTTCCAGGGTTTCCATTTGATGGAGCGGGGTTCATCGGACACTCTTCAGCAGGAGGTCACCCACTGCGGTGTTCAGGGATCCCTCCACACAGGGAACTTCTCCGTGGGGGTCTCGAGGAGGACGTCTGCCGAGCAGCGTCTTGGTCCTTGTTGTCCACTTTCGTCCAGTCTTACCTCTTGGACGTATCCGGCAGCACAGTCGCTCATTCAGTTTTGAGCACAGTGGATAATTGAATTATGCAGATGAGACTTGTAGGTGCTCTTGCTAGAGGTGGCCTCCGGTCTTAGGTTTTTGAAATACGCCATTCCCTTAAGGAGCTCTTGTCAGAGGCGTTCTTGGGTTACAACCTGCCCTTGGGGTTCCCCGGGGCTACCTTCTTCCAGCATGCTATGGGCGTCCTTGTTGGGAGCTGCTCGAGTACTCTTCTTCCTTTCTGCTGCCCTGAGTCGGCTCACGTGGGGGGTGTTCTGGGACTCGGGCAGGGCTCTAATCACCTTACGCTGGCCTGATGGGAATACATTTTCCCTACGGCCTATGTGAAGTTTACCACAGCGTACCCCTAAGGGGTGTAGCACTATGATTTAAAAATAATAGTTACCTATGGAACTGTAGCTCTACGAATAGATGCGTAGCCCCTTAGCTGCAGGCCCATCAGGCCAGTCTGGCTTTGGTCGAGGTCAAAGCTGCTATTATCGGCTATTATCAGTGACTAAAAGTGTTAGCATCATGTCAACTTGGAGAAAATTTGTCTTTGCGTGTAACTATGTGGCACACTAATTGGCCTGAAGACAAAGAATGCGGCAACCTTTCTTTGAGGGAGGCAGACCCCCCTGAAGTTCAGACGATCATCTGTGAGAGACATTTCACTAAAGGTTATTTCCAGACCCACAGTTACCATGATTCTGGACTTACTCAAAAGCTGATCTGGAAACCTGTCATTCCCACAATAAAACACAGTCACGAGGAGCATCCATCTGTAAGTACAATGCTTCTAACTCGTCTATAACAGTGTGCGACCTGCATAGCTACTTCGAGCAGAGAGTGTCTGGCGGTTTTATGAACCTTTTTCAGAGTGACTGATTTGTCACCTTCTCAGTTTCGCAGCAATGTGGTTACTCAAGCTGGACTACCTGCTCATATTGTGTGGATTGCTTTTTGTGCTTTGTACAAGCTACGAAACAATGGAGCCGAGTGTGCGCGGGGCTTCAGCCCTTCCACAACTCACCTTTACGCGGTAGTCCCTCCTACAACTACGGTTCTCTGAGCGGGCTGTGGAACCACCGCCAGACATCCCACAGGAGCTTCGCAAAACAGTGGCTCAACCCGAACGCCGCAAAAGGGGAAGACGTGGGGGTGTCCACCGGAGACTGAAGCGCTTGTGCCTCCAGGACTGGCAACGGATGCCCGCGCTCCCATCCATCCTGCTTGGGAGCGCGCAATCACTCCATAACAAGCTGGACGAGCTGGAAGCTTGGGCCACGGTGAGACAGAAGATCACCAATGCCTGTCTTCTTGTGTTCATGGAGTCTTGGCTTAAGGACACCAATCGAAATGAGGATCTCTCGGTCGAGGGGCGCCATACAGACTGGATCGGGACCTGGAAATCGCCGGGAAATTGCGCGGAGGAGGAGTTTTCATTCACTCTACGTGAATGAAAGGTACTGTAAAACCTTGTTGTGCGTGAGAAGATCTGCACCCCCCATGTTGAACTGTTGTCGCTGTCTCTTTGGCCCTTTTATTTGCAGCGCGAGTTCCAACAGCTGTTTTTTATGGTTGTATACATGCACTTGAGACAATTTGCCCCGGCGACCCCAAGTTTATCCTAGGAGACTTTAATCACTATCGCCTGGGTGATTCATTAAAACAGTAAGTGACTTGCAGCACAACCCAGAGGAATACAACTTCAGACTTGTGCTACGGTACTGTGAGCGGTGCATACAAGTCATCCTCCTCTCTGTTCTTCCTATCATAACTGCGTGTATCTACTTCTAATACAGTACTTTCTTACTGATCGTGTTCAGCTTGTTTTAGTGTATGGGAAAACGTCTGCTCCTTCCATCTCCAAAACTGGTTCGCCCCAAGGATGTGTCCTTTTGCCTCTCTTTTTAATCCTCTACACAAACAGTTGTCGATCATGTCAATCAGACGGAGGACATGATCATTGATTTCAGACGCGTTACATCCATTGACACCAGCGTGTCATTGGATGTAAATGAAGTTTGACATGAACACTGAGTCTATCATTAAACGATCACAGCAGAGAATTTACCTGTTAAGGAAATTTAACTATTTTAATGTAAACAGGACAATTCTTAATCATTTGTATTGTTCTTTTATTGAAAGGCTTCTTAGCATTTATTTTATCTTTTGGTTCCAAATCCTGACGCTGAAGGACAGAAACAAGTTTTTTTGCTCCAGTACGGAAAATAAACAGTTTTTCCAATTCTTTTGTGCCCTCTACCATTAAACTGTTGAACTCTGGTAGAGGTGTTTGACTTTTGGGAATTGTGTTGTTCATTGTTGTTTTTAACTTATATTGTGTAACCTGCTCCAGTGTGAACTGTGAGGCCTGACTCACTGTGTGTTTGTGTAGAGTCTGTGTGTTCTGCTTTGAGATTATGCTGCAAATGAATTGCCCTTTGGGATCAATAACGTTTTCTGAATCTGTATTTCTGTTAACTAAATAATTAGGGTCTGATTCTGTATTGAGGATATAGGGCTTTATATGACGAATTGCTTTGGTTTGTAAAAGTTTATTCTCAGGTCTGAAAGAACTCTGCTGGTAAAAGATGAACAGTTTTGCTGTTGTGTGTTTATAGTTAGCGTGAGGCGACATCAACGTTGGGGTGCACAGGCAGTGGAACAGAGAGGAGCAGGGCTTAGCTCGTTTCAATTGAGGTGATATCAACTCTATGCAAAAAATGGCTATAATCTTACAAGTTTTGATTGTTGTATAGTGTATCACTCAAATTATTATTGCACATGTGCATAGGATAGGGCTGTGAAAAATGAAAAAGAGCACAATATGAGACCTTTGAACATTAGTATGAGGCGCAGGTTTGACAATGATTTTGGACACTTTCTTTCATAAAGTGATGTCTAACCACACCAGTCACAGAGACATGAGGACAAACACGGACTGTTGCTGCTGTACATAGGTCCTATGGCCTGTTCTGTCCTTTACACTTCTCCATAGTCTTCACAGGTACAGCAGTGGAGAGGAGTTGCGTGTGTAGGGGACGTCAGGATCCGTTCCACTCAGTGTTTCCTGGTAAATAGTGAAGGTTGTAACCCAGCAGTTAAACATTTTAACATTTTATTTACATACGGAGAGCTGATTGGCTGAGTGAAGGTGGTCCTTTTCACTTTACTGTCTGGAAAAAGCTGAAAAAGAATGTGACAGAGGCCAAAAAAACATGCATGTGAAATGCATGTTTTTCAAAATAGTGTTATTTTTATGTGGATCACAATGTAAACTGAATAATGCTAATAATAAATGAAAACCATGATAATATTAACTAAAATGTTCATACCCGAGTTCACACTTCGTCCCATGTGACGTAATTAGGACTTTTGCTTCTAAAATGAACTGAGACCAGTTATGTGTCCCTTTAAACCAGTTGTAAAATTTTACCTTCATCACTGTTTGTAGATAGTGTTGGAATTAATACAGGTTCAAAGGTTATTATACACACACTACATTACAGAGTGAGTGAGCGAGCTAGGGAGTGGGTGAGTGGGAGAGTGAGCTGGGGAGTGAGAGATTGAGCTGGGGAGTGAGAGAGTCAGGGAGTGAGCAAGACGTGAGGAAGGTCAGAGAAACAATGATCCTAACCACAGTAATTATGTCAGCAGGTCTTTGACAGAAGCTGATGTTGCTAATGATGGGAAACGAGCTGATCGGATCACAGTAATAACCATGATGATGATTGGCATATATAATAGAAAGAAATAAATCATTATTTTTCAGTGGCCACAGTTGAAGCATAAGAAGTTTGAAACGTGCTGCACCATCTGGAATTATTATCTCATTTGTATTTACATGAGATTTCAGGTGAGACAGTAGATTTGAACAAAACAGCTGTTCAGACGTTTTCATTCCAAATTCAGTGATTACGGGTTGTGCTAAAAAAAAATCTTAATCATAGATACGCATAGATTTTTTTATTAGATACATATTGATTTTGTATTTAGATATATTTATTCTTTTTTTTCCTCAGTAAAATTTATTCTTAATTTATCAGTATGGAGGACTTTTAAACCTATTGTTTTACCCAAATGGGATTACCTTTATGTGTGAAGAACCTTTTATCAAATTATCCAATTAATATATATTTAAAACCTGTTTTAAGACTTTTTGTTCTTGGTGATCCACATACCTTGCTCTCACTCTATTCTCCATAGCTTTTCCTTATCATTCGACTTACCTCCAAACCAACAAAAAAACTTTTTCCACTAAAGTATTCCAACAGACAGTGGAAAAGTGCTGCTGGAAGCTATGGTTATCAAGAAATTTCCATGGATATTGATGTCTTGTGTCTGGTGTCCCTCCCACCCCTCTTCCCCTCACCCCTCTTCCCCCACCCCCCGCTCCACAATCAAGGATGAGAGAAATATAATTTCAAACCATTCACTTGGTTTGACAAATACAAAAAATCTTGAAATCTTGTAGGTTGCCAGGGTACCAGATACTAAAGCGTATTGCAGATTCAATTTATTTACAATTTGCAGTAAAACCACATTGGAATACATGTGCAAATTCCCAGTGTGCACCAGACAACCAGGTAGAGTAGAGATGATTAGAGTAGACATTCAACAACATTTATGGACGTACATGTGTTTGTTACCATTGCATTTCTTGTGTTTGAACTGTTTGATTTTCTTATCTTGATTGAATTGAAAGAGTAGGGTTAAGTGTGGCTGGTGGAAAGAGGGCTCTAGTTTAAAGCTATTTTTTCTGTAATCCCTGGGCCAATCCATATGGGACTGTCACCAAGCTCCACTTCTTCTTTGTCAGCATATCTCCGGTCTCGCTCTCTGGTCTATTTCTGGTCTCATCACAAATAAAATATGGTCTCATTATTTCTCATAAAGGAATCTAGAAGTGAATATTAAAAAACATAGAGTTGCATTGTATTCTACATGAACTCAACTTTTTGTGCAACAAACATCACGTCTGTATAGATTTTAAGGTTTCAAACTATATTTGGCATGTGTATATTGGAGTATTTTAGGCCTGCCAGCTGCCTGATCACATGTTTATCTATTTTTATTCTACTTAACCAATTATTTCTTATCCTTACACATGAAACACCAAAATAAATATTCCCCAGATCCTGTCCAAGAGCCAAAACGAGCACAGATAAAGCCCGTGTTTGTATCTCGTTGACTTTCCCCACAGTAACACTTGAAAGGGTGGTGTGTTCATGGTTCCGCATGAGTGTAATGAGGTCAGACACTCTGGAGAACTGCACTTTGCTCCGGGCTTTGAACACCTCATCCACATCACGACCACATTACCCACAATCCCCCACTGTGTGTCCACGCCAACTTTGTGGCCATGCCCCCCAGCCCAGTGCAGAGGAGGGGATTATGGCTGCTGCTGCTGCCGCCACGATCCATGCTCTCTCACTTTTGTGACGCTGCGATTGTGAGAGTAACTACAAGAAATGACAACTGCTTATACTTTATTTTGGAAACTTCTACAAGTGATGATTGTGACTAGGTCACTACTCTACTCTCGTCTACTCTACTTTACTCTTGTCTACGCTACTCTAGTCTATTCTACTCTACTCTCTTCTACTCTGCTCTTGTCTACTCTACTGTATTCTCGTCCAGGGATCTCCAATTAAATTGGCACGAGGTCCACTTACTTGATCAGTTCAATAGATTAGTGTTCGGACATCATACAAATATTTGATTTCATAGAAATCCATTCATGCTATTTCTTTCATATGAAATGATTTGAAAACCTTAAACATGTATGGACATTTTCTGTGTGCTTTATATTTTTCATGTGTTTTAACTGTTGATTCTCTCTGTGATTTCAATGGTATTGTTAAGTCCTCTGAGATGACTTCTGTTGTGACCTAGGGCTATACAAGAATAAATTGTATTGTATTGTATTGTATTGTATTGTATTAAACAACAACGACTATAGTAGTAAGATCTATTTGAAAAAAGAAAAAAAAAATCTAAATATAGGTGTGTATAACTCACACATAACATTAATCTACTTTGTTTATTTCTACACAACACACCATAAACCTCTCCATAAGTCTCTGTCAATTTGGACGCAGCCAGTGCAAGCAGCTGAACGTCCATCGCTCCGTACACAGCGCTCATTCCCGTCTCTTTCACGTCTCTGACTCTCACTGGGATTTAGACACTGCTAAAGTTATTCTGACTGCTCCGAAAAGTTTTCTCTGAAGGACCCCTCTGCCCACATAGATGCCCTTGCGCCTGCTAGTTTACAAATCGCTTTCGGTGAAAATTTTACACATAATTGTAATTATGTACTTTTGGACAAAAAAAATATCGGAGGTCCAGAGAAAAGGGACTGCGGTCCGCCATTTGGGGACCCCTGCTCTAGTCTATTCTCTACTCTACTGTTCTGTACTCGGTTTAACTCTTTTCTACTCTACCCTCTTAGCTC